ACGACCGACTATGAAAGCGCCCTTCCCACTTACAGTAAATCCCTAATGGTAAATATTAATTACCACAGGCAGATCGCTATCAATTAGCCTAGCGTTACAGGGAGATAGCTTGCTACGATCCCATAACGCAATTCAGGATACGCCATGCCTTCTACTTAGCTTCAAAATTGGAAACTGTATAAGTTCTTGGGCACAAATTTGACTATACATTCAGTTTCCACAGTGATCATTCAAATTTTTGAGAAAATATTTGAAAATGTAATCGGCTATCTGGAGAAAATTTATAAGCGAATGAAATTTCTGCAGTAAAAAGGAAAACCGCCATAAAATGCATTCGTTATTGGCTCATACCATTAGCATGCATGGATTAGAAGGATAGGCTTTAATAGGCTTGGAATCTCCTCAAGCATGGCAAAGCAAACATCCGAAAAACTGTATGCACTTGCCGAGAAACCCCCTAAACGCACAGAGACGTGAACGGATGACGTCGAGGCTGCTCCCTGAAGCCGTCGCCATCTCTACAGTAGAAGGCAGCAGCTGCTTTCTGCATAATTAGGTCATTCAGCGGATAAAGCGGAAATAAGCTAAGCGAACCATACACATCCATCTCAGTACGGCTTCCGCTGATTATGTCCGAAATGAAGCTACGGTAATGGAAAACTCACATTCAGAAGGATTCGATCCATCTTCGCCTCAACAACATCATAGCCAAACATCGCTCGAAAGTACGGTATTGCTGCTGCGAGCACAAAACGATGAGCCGCCAACGACTGGCCATCAACCTATAAAAATGAATAAGTTGACCCATATATCGTGTAGAGCTACTAGTAGAGGTGACGTCATCGAAGACAAACAAAATTAAAAAAAAACATAAACAGAAAGTTGGAAGATTTTTCAATTAAGGTTCTATTTATACTCTTATTAAGATTGACAGCAAAAAGATATGGGACAAAGCAACGACGATCCCCTTTTGGTCGAACTCTTCTCAGTATGCGCCACGCACTCCACTTTCATCTGAAATTCAAAGCAAAAGTCGAATGCAATTCACAGAACAAGTAGCGGGCCAGTTGAAGTATGAACCAGATTAATATCCTCTGGTACCAATTGCCTGGCCCCGTACAGATGAAAGGCAAAACCTAAGATAAATATAACAGCAACTGAGTTTTTTCTGAATCACGTCGTTCACAATTTTAAGTACGAGTTCTAGCAGGGTAATTCTAATCATTCTGAAAGAAGTGCCCGTGACCGTAGGGTACCACACCGTCCCCACGCGCTCCGAACAGCGTGGTAAGCTCGATAGCAACCACGCTGCCACGAAAGGTACCTAACAATCGTATTAAAACTAGAACTCGAATACTGCCCTTACATCTGCGATTCTGACCAATTCTGCTTAAAAAAATAAGTTGCCTGTGAATGCAGCGAATGCCGAACGACCGTCAGCCTGCGAGTACGGACGTCGCAGCCATGTTCTCATTACGTCGAAATTTGATCCAAATGCGACATTATAGTAGCCGGCTGTTCATCATCGCGAAACACTTTCGCGTCCACTTGACCAGCAGCCACACACGCATCGCGAACTGCAACGCTCAAATTTATTCAGCTCAGGCCAAATAGGAGAGAAAAGAAAAAGAATACTAAAAAAGTGGGAGATGGCCAGACTCACCGCTGAATGAAAACGATGACGGTTTCTGTAGCGAATCGTCCAGCGTCGTCGTCGAGCTCTTCACCGACTCCACCGCTTCAGGTGTACGCTCCGAAATGACACAACGATACACCACATGATAAATGTAAGAAATGGCAGAATTAAAGTGAGGAATGGCATCCACACGCGGACAACTTCTCTCGCCTTCGCCTCACGCTGCCTTTACGACTGAGTAAACTGCCCTTAATGGCTGACTCAGCTATAATCTTATCGAAACCTTTGTTTTATTGCCTTTTTGGGTCATCGACTGTCTGACCTTATCCAACCCACAGACCACAGATGTTTTTTCTAGAGAACGAGTTTCCTATCTTTTTCACGCACTATCCGTTAAGCTGCATATAGGAGGCACAGAGCCGGGTTTCATGAGGTCCTAAGCGCCCCCAAAATAGTTTTGGAAAGTTTCTTAAAGCAGTTCAGCGCTTCTATCGAAATATATATTCCTTTTACGATACTTTTTCTTATTATCAGTAGGAAGGATGCCTTTGGAGCAAGAATGGTGATCGTATCTTAATAGGCAAATTTTCTATTTTTTCATCAAACATAATTTCCGTTTAAAAACCAGGTAGTATAAGCCCAGCCTTTTTTTTTTCTTTTTGCCATTCATTCTAACCAGTAACAGCCTTTTAGGGAAGAGCCTTTTTTGTAAAACCTTTTTCCATCTAGCCAAGACTCCGTAAAAAAAACAATAAACAAATCCACGTTTCCTGTAAGCGTTTACTGTATCACGCAAAAAACAGTGCGAAAAAATGCCCAACCACAAGCTGAGGACCCTTCTGCAATGAATCCAAGTTTTTTTGCTTAAAAAAATTATAGTAACCTTGCGCGAGATTTTCTAAGAAAACTAGGGAAAATTGTAAACAGCTGTTTCCAATGAAAGAGCTGCTACCACAGCCACTGGAAGAGAGTGATAAGGTGATAAACGATCGTAGTGTTTGCAGAGAGGCAGGGTCGGTAAAATTGATAGAAAGATCAATACAGCTTGATGCCAGCTGATGGCGAGGGTGACGGTGATATATGATGTCATATCATATCAGAAATGATCGGATCATGATACCTATGCTTTTTGAATGTCGCATGGTTTTCAAAAAACATTCAGCAAACGTAAAGAAATAATGACAGGGCAGAAAAACCCGTGATGCAGAAACCATCCATCACGTTTTTGAGATCCCACATTCAAATATTAAATCAGTATATCAGGGATTTTGCTCGAATGATTACCAGTTTATCGATTAACATAGTAGACTCCTACTTTTCTGATCCGGAAAATTCAGGTTATCTTCAGGGAAAAGGCAAATAGAGAATTTGGGTCCAATTAACTTCACAACTCAACATTTCGTGGAACCATTTTGATTTTGTTCTGAGAATCCCGCTGAACAGAGGGCCAGGAACCGGGTAAAGAAGGCCAAGAACACCCAAGCACCAGTGCCATTAGACCCTTTGAAAGATGTTGTAAACCATATAGACACTGTAGAAAACCCAGAACTCACCACGCAACCGCTCCTCAGCAGCCATCGACGGTCTCCAGGAACGCTGACGAATGGACACTTATCAACGATCCTGTAACAGGCAGGGTTTAGTTCTTATGGAAACCGTTCCTTCACTCCTTCTACAAGTAAAAAAAAGGAAGAAGTGAAAATCGCACTGAACTGCATAGGAAAAGAACATTAGGTGATATCTAATCCTGTTTTGATCTCAGAAAAAAAAATCACAGAGGAAAAGGGAGAACGATAGAATCTTGTAGAGGAAAAGGGAGAACGATAGAAAATCTGTAAGGATTCTACGAATAATAGAAGGATTACTGTAGAAAATCTTTGCGTCTCTCCTTCAACAACACTGCTATTGTTCACTCGAAATTCCACAAATTCCTTTCTAGTAATAAGAAGGACAAGCACGCCCATAACCAGGACGAACTTCGCATCGAGGAAAAGGCTGCGGAATTATGACCCCCACTCCGAAGAGGTGCGGCCAACTCTGGCGATAACAACGTCGACAGTGCCAATAGCCTAGTAGTCTCGTTGGTGCTGGTACTTCCTGACACACTATCAACTCCGCCCCCCAGATTGCTTCGAAACTGCAGGCGAGCGAAGGTATGCGATCGCCAAAGTTTTAATTTTTGAATCCCTAATTAACTTTTTCATTTGTCGCCCACTGTACCCATCCCTTCAATATCCCAAACACGACATCCTCTCGAGGTTCGAGGATCTTCGATACATATTCTTTCTGCTCCCACCGCAAGAACATTCACGGAAATTTTGGGTTTGGGCTGGCACAGCAGACAGGCAACACAAACAAACGGCAAACACCACACAATTGTCTTCGAGTTTGACAGTGGGTATGACTTGTAGGCTTAAAAACTCCAGCCATCTTAACAATGGAACAAAGACTGCATGCACAAGACAATATCAATACTTTTTGCACAAGGCGTGCCTTCTCCTTCGTCTATCGTTTCTATGATCGATTCAATCATAAACAGAAAAGTTACTAGCAGCTGGAAAGTGCAGCTGGGCTCGAATGGATCAAAAAAGAAAACATTACTTCATGCGAATTAGTAGAAACCTTGATGGAACAAAGGAACGACCCAGCGGTAGAGCGGGAACCCTTCTCGACATAAAGGCCTTCTAAAACAGCTGCCCTTCATGCAACTGCTTCGGGAAGAAACAGAGGATGACCAAGAGAAGAAGGAGAATCCTCCCCGATATAAGAGTCTCTTGAAAACAGCTCAATCGTTCATGCAACTCCTCCAAGAGGAGGAAGTATCGAAGTGGGCGTGAGCTAGGGAGAGGGAGGAGATTTCAGGAAAATATACCAAGGCAGAAGTAATAAGAGAACAGTGTAAAGCGTATAAATACCATATCATTTAACACATTCTGTGCCGCGGGTGCCAGACGGGAGAACTGCTTGATATTCTGTTATTTCTAGTACCAAATCAGTCTGTGTAAATTCTCCTTCTAAAAACTTCCCAGCCACCTTGCTTGCCAAATAAAAATTATTTAGTTGTTAAAAATGAGGAGATACGCTAGTAAGCTAAAGGTATAGGAAAAGGTTACAGTACAAAGAATGTGGGAACGGGTTGGTTGATAACTACTCAGAGAACACCTAGAACGGGGATTGAGAAGCCTGAAGAAAGCCCACAACGCAGATAAGGAAGATTAAGCCGAAATCCCGCGGCAATCCCAACTACAGAGATCTAAGCACAGTTTCAGAGTGACATAGAGACCCCCCCCCGACATAAAGGTTAGGCAAGGAAAATAAATAAAAGGATGAAGGATAAAGATAAAGCATTTGGCTGATGGAAGCATTGGTTGCCCGGGCGTCACACTCAGGATTTGATCCTCGGCGGAGCGTCGCGTGGTGAGGCGCACTTGTCATACACACGTCGTCTTTATAAAATACAACAAAAATCAAATAAAAAAATGAGGAGCAGTGGAGAAAGCGGTGGACAGAAAATTTGACTGTGCATGTTTGTCGAAAGACAGAGCATCTCTCTAATTTATTATGCGCACTCCATTCGGTTACTATTCAGCGACCTTCGAGAGCAGCGCGGCATAATGCTAGTGCTTGCCGTTGTTCGACTATGGTGTCGAAGTAATTGTACGAGTTGTCATTGAGTCCATATACGGTAATTAGAGGCGCAGTCCAGCGCGTAACTATGCCATTCTCATAACCATCAAAAATTCCATCTTTCGGCGCGACCTCAATATCCAGAATTTTATGGCTATGTCTTTTTGGGGAATCGATGATGGAAGTGCGCAGTCCAGTGCCAACATGATGAATTTCTTTTTGCGCATTTCTAGAAGATGCAGGTAGTGTCATAAAGGGTCAGGAGGGCAGAGCTGAGCGATGTTGATTGGCGAGTGGAGAGATATCGGTCTCTACATCATCAAGAAGCCGCAAAGGCAGTGGCACAATATGCATCGAAATGACTCTACGATTGCAAACAATGCAGAAGCGATGGCGCATGCTGAAGCGGCGGACAACTATGTCCACTTGTCCAGGGCTTTTTCGCGGTTCAGTAGGTCCTTTTTGAAACGATTAATGCGGCTCACAAGAGAAAATTCTTTTCAGCAATCTTTTTATCACCGGCGTATCCGACTAGGGAAGGGTTTTTTTTGCTGCATACCTATTTTCACATAGAAAAATATTTTCACGGCGGAATGATAGAAGTGACGTGCTAGCGGTCCTTGTGATGTATTTTGCTGAGAGCGCTCTCGCTATAATTACACTACCTCGGATTCACCAGTCGGTAGTTCCTTCTCGAGCTCCAACGGCTGCTCTGTTTACCGAATACGAATGTATGTCCATACGTAATGAAAGGTCCACGCAGTGAGACTTCAAAAGGTGAATGCTAAAGGCAAGTATACCGAAAGAAGCTCCCTAAAGGGAACCTTAGCAAGTACGACCTCTACCACTCCCCCTCCCCCGTTGGGATTCTCCGATTAATCTTCGACCCTGAGATAATTCGATGTCGGAACGCTCAATTAGCAGGTTCGCTTCCCAGAGGCACAAAGGAACACCAAAAAACTGCTCAATCAACTGGAAAAACACCCAACCAGCTTTGGTAGCCTAATAAGGCAAACATAAAAAGCGAACAAAGACAATTCGCTTAACAATAGATTTTCTAGCGCTCTTCCTGTTGCAGAAACGGAAGCTAGCCAGAGTGCAAATTAATATTTGAGCTTTGTCGATATTCGTTGACAAATATTCATGCACGATCGAAATCGAAATCAAGAAAAAAGATGTCGATGGACACTCTCAACGTCACGATCGCATATTCCACCTTAAAAGCACACCAGTAGAGAGGTAGCAGCGGAAAGTTGTACTAAATACTTAGGGATGCGCCATGTATCTACTTTGCATCGTCAATGTACTCAGATTCTTTCTTGGGCTGCACAATGATTGACGGAGGTCGTAAGATTATGGCAGGCGCATTTTGCGATTGCCTGGGTTTGGTAATTGCAGTCGAAAATGAAAGTGGATGTGGAGGGATCATCTGTGAAGAAAAAGATTCGAGGGAACCGCTGGAAACTTCAAATCCTTTTTTCAGACGGTAGACAGGCCTGTGAACTTAAAGTACTGGGTGCTAAGACGAGAGAGTATGGAGACAGGCGAGGCGCAGACACTAGTCTCTGTGCAGCGATGGGTTGCACAGATCACACTTGACATAATCTATAAACCCTGGTTTAACTGTCCGTTGCACTGTATTTCAAGAATTTTAACGATCCCCTCCTTGTAAGGGTTTCAATACGACCCTTCATCACCACAGCCAGCGTAAGGGGGCTCCGCTCAGCACCCTGACCATCAAGGCTGTTTCTATTGTGTTAGATTCAGGATCGTCGAAACATCCCGACTCCACCCTCTTTTCCCTCCTGAACGACCGGTGGAGGGGGTAAATATAACTGAAGGAACAGCGAGTTTCTTAGCTTTCCCCATTATATAACCTTTCGGGTAAAATTCGCCAAAATCGTCGAAATTGGTGACTGAACGACCCTCTCTTCCATTCTTTTCACAAGACCCTCCAAATGTCACTTTCACGACCCCCCCCCCCGGAAAATCACACATGCAGTTGCTTCCGAAAAAAACCAATAGATTAAGAAATGGCATCAGATTTTGCGAAAGAAATTAAAATTCGCAAAAATCCAATTCACTGACAAAAAAGCGAAGGATTCTGATGAAAAATTATGCTATCAAAATTACCTCGCTCGAAACTTTGGTCAGCACTTCGCGTACAGCAAAAAATCGACGAGGATGATGAATTCGGGGTGACAGTGGAATTCGCGACGACGCGTACGCCCAATGGCACAGCCGTACCTGAAAATGAGGTCATTCTGGAGATGTCTATACCTTAGTTTTGCACAGTCACAACTATTAAACACTCCGAAAACCAGCAGATGAGTTGGAGAGCAGAAAAGTATGAAAGGGAGGACCGGCTGCGAATATCTTTATTTGAATGAGAACGTTTTCGAGAAAGGAAACCAACAGAGAGCATAATTTGGGTCTATTCCAGTTAGGGGGCATCATGGTGCGGTGACTCCCAAAAAGCTACGGTAACTCTGAGCCAGGGGGAGTGTAGCCAGCCTAGGGGGGGGGGGTGAGGGCAGTCACTTGACATGCGTGAGAAGCTGGAATGTTCGAGTTTACATTAGCTCGCCGAGAAACTGCATCATGATGCCCCCCCCTAACTGGAATAGACCCATAAATTCTTGTATATACGTCCACGTAAACGCAGGCCAGTAACCTTGGTGAACTCACGCGACTATAAGGACGGCAAGCGACAACCATTAAGACGCGGCCAGATGGAATACTGCTCAGAGAATCGGAATTGGAGATGTTGGATCACTAAAGGACAGAAAGTCTACCACGAGAAAAAACCAAAATTGAGACCCTCAATCAGTCGTCAGTGCATTTGCTGGTTTTGAACGATTGCAAAAAATACCAAACCATAATGTGCCGTTCCACCGACCACCTCCCGGATGGTGCCGTGCATAACACTTTAACTTGCAATTGTGAAAATATTCAAATGCGTATTCACCCTCAATAATAATGTATAGGACCAGCGTTCAAATGAGAGCAGTTTCTCCTGGTGAATAAAGATTGTAAGCACATTCTTGAAATTGACATATCCCGAGCGTTGGTCAGGAATTCCGTCGCGCGACTAACGCGATATCGCGCGCGGGGCAATAGCTATAAAATGTGCCGTAGTTGGTCAATATCACATTCGTGCTTGTGTGCTGTAGAGAACCGCTTAATGTGGAGTTCCGGAATATTATCCTCTCTTTTTGAGAGTCGGCTTTTTCTTGGCCGAAGCTCTCCACGTAAGGCCGATGTCAGACTTTGCGAATCGAGCGAATTCGCTAGCGTCTGCGGTCGCGTCGCGGCCAGTGAATCACTCAATTGGCTGGTACCGCAACGCGACCGCGGACGATGCAAAGTTTGACATCGGCCTAAAACGTTTTGAAAGCTCGAAACAAAGAGAAGAGAATCAATCAAATGAAATATACGTGCTGTGAGGTTGATGGTATAGAAAATCACGCCATAGTGACCGTAGGCTTAGGCAACTAGCCAAAAATGCCCCTATACCCTTGCGTGTTGCCACCCCCTGGCCGACACCCTGTCCCAACGTACTCCTCAGGAAAGCAGGAAATGGCAGCAAGCGTGTTTTAAAATAGGACAGAAATTCAAAGCGACCAAATGACATCATTCAACACTCGAAAGCCGTGAAGACAATGACGCCAAGCAGTAGC